CACCGCGGCCGGCGGCTGCACCAGCCTCCTCGCCGGCTTCGCCGCCTTCTCGGCGCTGGGCTACATGGCCCGCAGGCAGCAGGTGCCCGTCGGCGACGTGGTGGCCGCAGGTGGGGCGCGATGCCGCCGCGGGACGTCCCCGCTCGCGGCGCCCCGGCTCCCGTCCAGCGCCCGGCCGTGTCGCCCGCAGGCCCCGGGCTGCCCTTCATCGCCTACTCCGAGATCGTGGCCCTCATGCCCGGCTCCATCTTCTGGTCCATCATCTTCTTCCTCACGCTCTTGGTGCAAGGGAGCGACTCACTGGTGAATGTCCCCGCCGGGCCATGATGAGCCTGGATGGGGGTGGACCGGGTACCCCCCAGCCTGGGCACGCGGCTGGCGCAATGTGCCCCGGCAACGGGACCCTGCAGGTGCCACGGGGGCTGCCCGGGGGCAATGGGGCTGCGCAGGGACGGAGCCGCATCCCGCCGGTGCCGCGGGGGCCCCCGGCCACGCAGCCCCCCACGGGTTGTCCCCTGGCGCTGACGTCCCCGTCCCCCAGTTTGGCACCGTGGAGGGAATCGTCAGGGGCATCCAGGACGCGTTCCCGGCCCTGCGCAGCCTCAAGCTGAAAATCGCGCTCCTCTTCGGCGTCTGCTTCAGCTTCTACCTGCTGGGGCTGCTCCTGGTGACCGAGGTGCGGCCGGAGCCACCGGGGGACCCCCCCATTGGACCCCCAGTGCCGCTGACCCTCCTGCCATCACAGGGAGGCATCTTCTGGTTCACGCTCATTGACGAGTACAGCGCCAGCTTCGGCCTCCTCTTCGCCGCGCTCTGCATGAGCGTCGGCGTCGCTTACGGCTACGGTGAGCGCCGCGCCCCGGGGGCTCTGCGTGGCGCGGGGGACACTTGGGGACACTCGGGGACGGTCACCACGGCTCCCATCAGGGCTGCGGCAGCTGCGCCGGGACGTCGAGGCCGTGATGCGCCGGTGCCCGCGCGGCTGGAGCCGCGCGCTCGGCTGCGCCCAGGGCTGCTGGGCGCTCGTCACGCCGGCGCTGCTGCTGGTAGGGGCCGCCCGGGGCTGTCCCCGCGCGCCGGGGCCCGCGCCGGGCTCGTGGCCCACGGGGACGCCTGGGCCCGCAGGTCGCGCTGGTGTTCGCCGTGGTGCACGTGTGCGGCGCCGGCGCCGCCGCGCTGCCCGCCTGGGGCCGCGGCCTGGGCGTCTGCATGGGCGTCCTGGTGGGCGCGCAGCCGCTGCTGTGGGCCGCCGCCGCGCTGTGCCGCGAGGCGGGCACGCTGAGAGACGTGAGCGCGGGCACAGAGGGGCAAGGGGACGCGGGGACGCGGGGACACGGCGCAGGGACATGGGGACACAGGGGCGAGGGCACACGGGGACGTGGGCACACGGGGACGTGGGCATGCGGGGACACAGGGCATGGGGACATGGGGACACAGGGGCGAGGGGACACAGGGACAGAGGGGCAAGGGGACGTGGACGTGGAGACATGGCGCAAGGACATGGGGACGCGGGGACACAGGGGCAAGGGGACACGGGGTGTGGGGACATGGGTACGTGGAGACATGGCGCAGGGACATGGGGACGCGGGGACATGGGGACACAGGGACGTGGGGACACAGGGATGTGGGGACACGGGGATGTGGGGACACGGGGACATGGGGACACAGGGCGCGGGGACGTGGGCAAGGGGACACAGGGATGTGGGGACACAGGGACATGGGGACACAGGGCGCGGGGACGTGGGGACATGGGGACATGGCACAGGGACGTGGGGACATGGGGACACAGGGGCAAGGGGACACGGGGATGTGGGGACATGGGGACATGGGGACACGGGCAAGGGGACACGGGGATGTGGGGACATGGGGACACAGGGCGCGGGGACGTGGGGACACAGGGACATGGGGACACAGGGATGTGGGGACATGGGGACACGGGGACATGCGGACACAGGGCGCGGGGACGTGGGCAAGGGGACACAGGGATGTGGGGACACAGGGACATGGGGACACAGGGTGCGGGGACGTGGGGACATGGGGACATGGCACAGGGACATGGGGACACAGGGGCAAGGGGACACGGGGATGTGGGGACATGGGGACATGGGGACACAGGGGCAAGGGGACACGGGCACAGGGCGCGGGGCCACGGAGACGTGGGGAAATGAGGACACATGGGTGGGGGGAAAGGAGGTCACGGGGACGTGGGGACACGGGTGCAGGGACACAAGGATGTGGAGACATGGGGGCACGGGGATGGGGACACAGGGGCACCAGGCACAGGGACATGGGGATGTGGGGACATGGGGACACCGGGACATGAGGACATGGGGACACGGGGACACGGGGACATGGGGACATGGGGACACAGGGACATGGGGACACAGGAGGGCGGGGACATGGGGACACAGGGATGTGGGGACATGGGGATACAGGGGTGTGGGGACACAGGGATGCGGGCACACAGGGACACATGGATGTGGAGACATGGGGACACATGGGGCACGTGGGGGATGTGAAGACATGGGGACACAGGGACATGCGGGAGTGGGGATATGGGGACTAAGGGATGAAGGGACATGAGGACACAGGGACATGGAGATGCAGGGATGTGGGGACACGGGGACATGGGGAGGAAGGGGCGCGGGGACATGAGGACGGGGGGACATGTGAGATGTGGGGTTCATGGGTGGCATGTGGCGGTCACGGGGATGGGGGGACGTGCTGCAGGGACACCAGGACACAGGGACACAGGGACACGGGAGCGCAGGGATGCGGAGCTGCAGGGGACACGGGAGACAGGGGGATGTGGGGACGCAGGGACAGGGGGATGTGGGGACATGGGGACAGGGGGATGTGGGGACACGGGGACATGTGGCCACGGGGACGCGGGGACCGAGGGTGGCCGAGCAGCGCCGCCCCCCGTCCCCGCAGCGCGTCCGCAAGGCCACGCAGCCGCGGCGCTCGTGGCGGGCGGCCCGCGAGGAGGCCCAGGCCATGGCGCAGCCACCCCTGGGTGTCACCCTGCCCGGCGGGGACGCGACCGGCACCTCCGAGCTGTGAGGTCCTGGTGGCACCAGGGTCCCGGCCACCCCTCAGTGTCACCCTGCCCAGCGGGGACACGACCAGCACCTCTGAGCTGTGAAGCCCCGGTGGCACCACGGTCCCCACTGCCCCTCTGTGTCACCCTGCCCGGCAGGGATGCGACCGGCACCTCCGAGCTGTGAGGTCCTGGTGGCACCAGGGTCCCCGGCCACCCCTCAGTGTCACCCTGCCCGGCAGGGACACGGCTGCCACCTCTGAGCTGTGAGATCCCGGTGGCACCGCGTCCCCGGCCACCCCTCAGTGTCACCCTGCCCAACGGGGACGCGACCGGCACCTCCGAGCTGTGAGACTCCGGTGGCGCCAGGGTCCCGGCCACCCCTGGGTGTCACCCTGCCTGACGAGGACGCATCTGGCACCTCCGAGCTGTGAGGCCCCGGTGGCACCACGTCCCCGGCCACCCCTGGGTGTCACCCTGCCCGGCGGGGACACGGCTGCCACCTCCGAGCTGTGAGGCCCCGGTGGCACCGCGGCCCCGGCCCGGCCGCCCGCGGGATTCCCGGTGCCCGCAAGGAGCAGCGCGGCGGCCGGCGGCTCTTAAAATCCCCACCATGCTTTATTGGATCGAAAAGTTCTATGAAATGACCGGGAAAGGGAAAAAAAAGAGAGAGAGAGAGGGAGCCCCGAGGGGGGAGCCCCAAGGGGGGAGCCCCAAAGGGGGAGCCCCAAAGGGGGAGCCCCAAGGGGGGAGCCCCAAGGGGGGAGCCCCGAGGGGGGAGCCCCGAGGGGACAGGCGCCGGCCCCAGCCCCGCGCGCGGCCCCGGGCGGACGCAGGCACTTAGTCATGGAGCGGGCAGTCACGGAGAGGCCTCCGGCGGCCCCGGGGTCCCCCCGGCCGGTCCCCGTCCCCCCGTGCCCAAAGAGGTGCCCCCCGCGGCGCCCCCGGCCAGCAGGGAGCCCCCCCGGTGCTCCCTGTCCCCAGCCTGGCGGTGACACCCGCCCTGGCCGCGTCGTCACCGTGTCCTGCGGGGGAGCCTCCCGTGTGGCCTCCGCCTGGTGCCCCAGGGGACACAGGGGTGGCAGGAGGGGGTGTGGCGGGGCTGGAACGCAGGGCGCGATGCTGCGGGGCCACCAGCGCCATGAGGCCACCAGCGCCATGGGGCCAACCAGCGTCATGGAGCCACCAGCGCCATGGGGCCTCCAGCGCCATGGGGCCACCAGCGCCATGAGGTCACCAGTGCCATGGGGCCACCAGCGCCATGGGGCCA